TGGTTCGATTCCCAGTCAGGGCACATGCCTGGGTTGTGGGCCAGATCGATGTATGTCTCACACATTGATGCTTCTCTCCCTCTCTTTCTCCCTCCCTTCCCCTCTCTCTAAAAATAAATAAATAAAATCTTTTAAACTCCCCCTGGAAGAAACCATGAGAGATTCTAAACCATCAACTTAGACTGTTTAATCAGAAAAGTTTGGAGAAAAAAAAATTTTGGATACCTCCACTATGTCACTTAAAAAAAAACCAAGACCACCTTAACAGTTTTATTCTAGCATTCATACCTGAAAAATCATTCCTTAATGAGATCAGAACTACTTATGATCCAACATTAAAAGGGGATATTTAAGATGACAATTAGTTCAACATTCTTTTTTTAAAGATTTTATTTATTAAGTTTTTCAGAGAGAGGGGAAGGGAGGGAGAAAGAGAGGGAGAGAAACATCCATGTGTGGTTGTCTCTCGCGCGCCCCCTGCTGGGGACCTGGCGTGCAACCCGGGCCTGTGCCCTGACTGGGAATCCACCAGTGACCCTTTGGTTCACAGGCTGGCACTCAATCCACTGAGCCACGCCAGCCGGGGCTCAACACTCTTTTTTTTTTTTTACCATGGAGAAAAAAGAGCTCAAAGACAGGAGGCTACTTGTCCAAGGTTGTACAGCAAAGCAGAATGGTGGAAAGAGACTCATCTAGGTTCCCAGGTTCAGTGAGATGATACGGGGCTCAGCAGGGGACAGAAGACCCAGTACCTTCCCCTGTGTGAGCCTCTCTTCCTTAAACTCTGTAAAATGGCTGGATATGAATTCAGTATGTAAAGTACCCAGCCCAGTGCCTGGCACATCATTGGTGTTCCATAAACTGGAGTTTCCCCTTTGTTGAAAGAGGGGATCACCTTGCCTTCAAAGCCAGGGGGATCGGAGACAAAGACTGCAGCCGCAGCAGGGAGACATCCCCCACATTCCCGAGTTCTAGGCCTATGGTGGGGATTGATCCTAGTGATATCCTGGGGGGTAGGGCTGAGGGTCACCATGGAGATGAGTGGGGCAGGGGGACAGACTTTCAGTTTCTATGGTGACAGCCTGAGAAGCAGAATATGATTTGGAAGAAAGATTGGGGAGCATGGAGTTCTTTCCATGGAGATGGGGAGGGGGCTCTCTGAAGCTCACCTAGGGCTGAAAGTAGGGAAATGGGAGAAATGAAGCCACTTATCTCCATGGTGACCGGGGAGGGGTGGAGTCACCTAGGGAACAGCGGAAGGTGAAGCTTTCTATCTCTGATATTAGACGGCTGCTAGGGTTTCCCTTAGACTTATTTAAATGTTTTAAATGTCCCTCCGTGTGTCACCTAAATTCATTTTTCACATCACCAGTATGCCTCCACACTTTAGGATAGGCTGGACCGGTATATCTACTATAGCAGGTTCTCGTCGAATAACGTGCTTTTGTTTCCTTTCAATGTTGATGAGATGCCCAAAGAACTTAACTCTTGTTTATATCCATTAGCCTATGGTAAAATTGGTTTTGTTATATTGTTTTGCTTAACGTTGCAGAACCTAACTACGACGTTAAGTGATAGAGCGTCTCTCAGAGCTACTATGGGTGCAGTGAAGACGTTGTTTATCTAAATCCTTTGGAAATAAGTGCTACACAAAGGGGCTCGCAGCAGCCCCTGCTTGCCTTACATGATCCATGAGGACAGGACTTTTGTCTCATTCACTGTAGTGACTAGAACAGTGTCTCACACATAGGAGTCACTCAATAATATTGAAATGTTGCCCTGACTGGTGTGGCTCGGTGGATTGGATGTTGTCCTGAAAACTAAAAGGTTGCCGGTTCGATTCCCAGTCTGGGCACATGCGTGGGTTGCAGGCCAGGTCCCTGGTGGGGGCGATGTCTTTCTCTCACATGGATGTTTCTCTCCCTCTCTTTCTCCCTCCCTTGCTCTCTCTCTAAAAATAAAGAAAATACTTAAAAAAAATACTAATCGAAACCCTGCACGTTCCCTACATATGCTGTCACCATTCACAACTGCATTTCCGCATCATCTCCTTTGTGGGGACTTTTGTGAACCACCTGGAGAGGCTTCCATGCTGCGTGTTTCCATCATATTCTATATACATCACCATAACTCTTGTCTCTCTCCCTCATCTACTTGTTAGAGCTTCCTACTATTCTCCTGCACTCTAGTTTCTTCCTATCCCAACTCTATGTCCTGTTGCCCAGTGAGTCTTAGCTGTGCGACCTTGGGCAAGTCACTTAACTTCTCAGGGTCTCAGTTTCCTCAGCTGCTAAATGAGGGGCCATTTTTGCTTTTTACAGTTACTTAGAGCCCTTGAGTCACTCAGACTCCCAGCCTTGGTGTCTTGGGCACCACTAGGGAAGAGAAGGGCTGAGTTGGCAGGCTTCTGTGTATATCCACTTCCAATACAGCAGCCCTTCTAAAACTCAGGAAAAAAAGACTTCTGTTACTACAAAAAGCATAAGTAGCACTATACTTACATGATTTATCAGGGCCCCTTTAGTTCCCTTAAACTAAGATTTTATAAAAATCTTCCATACACAGCCCTGGCTGGTGTGGCTCAGAGGACTGAGTCCTGGCCAGCAAACTGAAAGGTCCCCGGTTCGATTCCCAGTCAGAGCACGTGCCTGGGTTGCGGGCCAGGTCCCCAGTTGGAGGAGCGTGAGAGGCAACTGGTTGAAGTTTCTCTTGCACATTGATGTTTCTGTCCCTATCTTTCTCCCTCCTTTTCCCTCTTTCTAAAAATAAATAAAAATTAAAAATCTTTAAAAAAAATCTTCCATACACAACAGGATGTTTTAATATAGTGATAAAGTGCTTTACACACAGAAACACAATAAACTTACTTTTATTGCTTTTTTAGCCATTCTTAATCTTGGCATCACCCCAAAATAAGATGCAATACTTATGACAATTTGAATATATAATATGCACTCTGAAAGTATTAATAATTGGCAACTCCCATAAAGACTGTCATTTTGGAAGTGATAGAAAAAACTGGCTTACAAAGTTGAGGACCACATTCAAATTCTGGATACTTTTTTTTCCCTCTTAGACAACAATAAAACTATGTCTTAATTCCAGCAAATGCACAGGGACAGATTTTCTTTAGTCTCACAATTATGGTTTCCAAGTCTCTTCCATAAGTATTATCTTTCTTCTTTGTATTCCTGGCCAAGGCGGACCCCAGAAGCTCAGCTTACTAGAGTCATTACAAGTGGCAGACAAGTCAAATACTAGGTAACTTGCCAGAACCTCCCTTCTCCTCAGCTTCTAAAGTGGCGGGGGAGGGCGGGTGGCGGGTTGTAAGGGGAGGTTTATTACAATCATCTGGGAAGCTTTATCAAGGTGCAGTCCTCTTCCCCTCTCCTCTCCCTCTTGCGAACCATTGTTTTATAGCTGAGGGCTTTCGTTCTCCCTGCATAAAAGGTCCTGTCCATCTTTTTAAAGCTAGCTCAATTTAAGATTGATGGAGTAAAAACAATTGAATGTAGAAGACACTAGTTTTGTCACAACTGGTTGCACAAGTCAATGAACCTTTCTGGTGTCAGTTTTTCCATCTGATTTTTGAAGTCCCCGTCCAACTTGGAAATACCGTGACAGCACATCATGTCTAAGAAGCTCTCTGAATTCCTGGCATAGAATGACTTGTCATTGTTAGTTTTCCAACAGCCTGTACAATGTGACATATCCTCTAGTTATATACTGTCCTATATTGCCCTCTAGTTGTTTTTGCATGAAAAATGTTTTCTTAAGCACTCTTAATTTAAAAGTTTATTTTCTAGGGCAGGATAACTTGGAGATATGTTCTAAGGTAATCAGTATGTATTTCTATTCATTTGTTCAAAGCAAAGACTTCCCCATATTATATTTTTACATCAGCACTGTCCAGCGGGAAAAAAAATGTAAGCCACAAATGTGAGCCTGTTATGTAAACTTAAGTTTTCTGGTAGGCACATTAAGAAAGTGAAAAGACACAAGTGAAATTAATTTTACTATATTTAACCCAAATATACAAAATATAAGCATTTCAACAATGTAGTCAGTGTAAACACTGAGCTATCTCATATTCTTGTTTTGTAATTTTTCAAAATCCAGTGTCTGTTTCACATTTACAGCGCATCTCAATTCAAAACAGACACAATCAAGTGCTCAGTAGCCCCACGTGGCGCATGACTACGTAATGAACAGCGCAAGTTCTGCACAATTGGGCTGCTTTCCAAACCGATAACTTATTTTTCTTTTCATACGACGCTGAGCCCTTAACCAGTACCTGACACTGGGCTAGCCAGAGGGGTGCAAAAATGAGACTCATTCTGGTAAGGGAGCTAGATTTGTCAATCACGAACGGTAATACAAGTTCGAGGTGCTCTCTGAGAGAGAGGCACAGAAGTGTGACTTGGCTGGGAGGTGGGGCAAGGAAGGTTTCACTGGGGAAAACTTGAAAGGAAGTGTTTGTGGAGGAGGGTGACGCGAAGGGGAAGTGATGGGAGAGGACTGGGCGGGAGGATCCCGGAGCTCCAGCTGTGGCTGGACAGAAGCCAGAGGGGGGCGCTACTTGCACTTCGCGCTCGCGCGCCCAGACCTGCGCGTGCCAAGGATGCGGTGCGGCGGCTGGAGCCCCGGCTGCCCCGGCCCCCGAGCCTGGCGAGCGCCTGGCGGGGTGAGGCGCGCGGCGGGCCGGTTCCGGAAGCAATCCGGGGCTCGCTCGGTGTTCCGCCTCGTCCCAGCCGGACCTCAGGGCCATGGAACTTCCCAGCCCCGCGTCGGCGACGAGAACCACGCCGAAAAACAGCGCCCAAGGTCCCGCTCCCCCTAGTAAGGGGCAGCGGGGTCAAAAGAGTCCTTGGAAACGGTTGCCAGGGCCGGCAACCAGCTGCTTCCGGCGGATCTTTGGCGACTTGGGAACAATGGGTGACGACCGAGGTAGCGCCTCTTCCGGTTTCGTAGGTCCTCTCGAAGTTCTTTCCTAAAGTTGCCTTTAACCCCGGAAATGAGGTCTTCCGCCTTCCTCCCTCCCTCAAGATGGCAGCCGCCGAAGAAGAAGAGCTACTGCCACCGCGGCTCCCCGAGCTGTTCGATACCTGCCAACGGCTCCTGGAGGAAGTGGAAGTAGCGGCGGAACCCACCGGTTCCCGGGTGGTCCAAGAGAAGGTGTTGAAAGGACTACACCTCCTGGAGCAGGCGGCCGAGATGTTATCGCAGCTTGATTTGTTCAGGTATGGGGAGAGGGTACTAGCTGACAATGAGGGTACCGTAATAATGGTTACCAAGGGTGGAGCCATTGAGCCTGGGTGGAGGGCGACGTTTAAGACTAGCGACCTTTCGTGCCTACCTCCCACTGTGATCTCTTGTAATTCGTTTACATTCTCCACCTGTCTCCCGAGTAGTCAAAATCACACGACTCTGACACGTAGCCTGGGCTGTTTGCAGAGGCACTGGGTGTGACCGCTGAGCCACTTTTCATTGAAGAAAACCGGCCGTGTTCCCCGTGCCTCCTCTTTTTGTCTCATTCCAACCCCAGCCCTCCCCCCCCTCCCGCAAGGAGCAAGGGGCACTGTTTAAATGACCAACCAGGCTTCACAGCCTCCTCTTTGCTCTTTCCAGCCATAATGAAGATTTGGAAGAGATTGCCTCCTCCGACCTCAAGTACCTGATGGTGCCAGCACTTCAAGGAGCTCTCGCCATGAAACAAGTCAACCCCAGCAAGCGGCTGGATGATTTGCAGTGGGCTCGAGAACACTTTTTAACCTTCTTAACTCAGTGCCAGCACTACCATGTGGCAGAGTTTGAGTTGCCCAAAACCAAGAACAACTCAGCTGAAAATAACACTGCTAGTTCTTCCATGGCCCATCCTAACCTCGTTGCTATGGCATCTCAAAGACAGGCTAAAATAGAGAGGTGGGTCAATAGCTATAATTTGAAAGCTGTCCAGTGGCAGTGCTATTGGGGGGGGGTGCATGTTTTTTGCGGGGGGGGGGTGGACAATGGTGTATGTCACTCTTTTGGTTTTTATTGGCCATAGGTCCTGATGCAAGCAAACTCTACTGAGTTTTTCAAGAACCCTCTGCCTTTGTTGAGATGATCATACCTAACCATTGGAATCCTTGTGGTTGCCAACAGCAGCAATGTAGTTTAGTAGAGTGTCTCCCAATCTCTCCCACAGCACAACATAGCGATATTCATACAGGATGGGGACAGGGCAACTCTCTCTGAAGGGCTCAGTAGCTTGTAGCTATCATCCTTTTAGTATCCATTGATTGAGAAGCTGTGTTTTAACAGTGCTGGAGCAGGGGTGTAACATCCCAAACTAATTTTAGTCTCAGCACAGCTTCATTGTGTTGCTTGCTCTCAGTTTAGTTTTTTTCTTAAGGTTTTTTTTTCCTATTTACCTTTAGAGAGAGGGTAAGGGAGGGAGAAAGACAGGGAGAGAAACATCAATGCATGAGAGATACGTTCATCCATTGCCTCTCTCGTGCCTCCAACTTGGGACTAGGCCCATGACCCAGGCATGTCCCCTGACTGGGAATCGAACCGGCAACATTTCAGTTCACAGGCCTGCACTCTGCACTGAGCCACACCAGCCAGGGCTCAGTTTGGTTTTTTTAAAAGCATTTCAAGAGTGCTCACAGTGTCTAGGAGCTATGCTAGACACCAGGGGTACAAACTGAGTATGAGTCTTTCTATGAGTGTGGGTTGTCTTTGCCTCAGAGAAGCATACAGTCTGGTGAGGAAAAGAGGCGTTGAAACAGTCAGTACAAAATGATGTGATAGAAAGATGTACAAGGTGCTGTGAGAGCAGACAGGAGGAGCACCGAACCAAAGAGGGAGCAGGAGAGAGAAGGTGGCTCCCTGGAAGAGGGGACTCCTGGGATGAGTTGTTTGAGGATGAGTAGGAGTATTAGCCAGAGGAAGAGGAAAGGAGGGACACCACGCCGCAGAGATAGCCTCAGTAAGCTGCAGGGACATTGAAGAGCTGCTCTGGGGTGGGCATGTGTGGGTGGGGAATAACTAGAAGCAATTAGGTGATGTTAGAATACGAAGAGGGCAGTGGAAAGGGGGAAGGAACAATGCTGAAGAATGTGGTAGCACTCAGATCTAGGAAAGCTTGGGGTGCCGAGGAAGGTGAAGGAACCACCTCATTGCTACGAATGTGGGGGAAGGGTTTGAACCTCATCTCCACCATTCAATCACTCTGACTTTGGGCAAGCTGCTTCATCTCCCGGTGCCTTAATTTCCGCAGCTGTGAAATCAGTTAACGGCAGGTCCTTTCTTATACTAAAAAGCAGTAAGCACTCAAAGTCAGCTGTTATATCTTTGTAGCTGAGCACAGGTTGTGCAGTCAGAGACCTGGGTTTGAGACCCAGCTTTACTTAAAAGCCATTGGGGTTATGGGTAACTCATTTAACCTCTCTGAGCCTCAGGTTTCCTCATATGTGAACTCTAAGTAATAATGATACCTCTCACCTCTCTTGTAGGATTCAGAAGCAGAAATAAGACAAAGCGCGTAACACTGCTAGCACAGAATCTGTAACATAGTAAATATTCTCTAAATGTTACTTCTATAATGTTACCATATAAATGTTACAATGTTATAAAATGTTACCTGCTAGTTCATGTTAAAGAGCTTAGACTTTGGTGATTTGGACCCACTGGATTTTTCTCTTTTTCTTTCTTTCCTTTTTCCCTCCCTCCCTCCCTCCCTCCCTCCCTCCCTCCCTCCCTTCCCGTAGCCCGACCATATTTGCATTTTAACTAGCACACTCTGGTAGCAGTCAGGAACCAGTGCGAGGGAGGTTAGATGCCATCAGTCCACAGAGGTGATGAGGCCTCACTGTGGCAATGCAGTGCGGAAGGGATGGGGGTATGCGTACTTAGGAGGGTTGAATCTGTAGAAGACTTGGTGACCAGTGGTTTGAGAGATGGGACAGAAGGAAGCAGCAGGGAAGATGTCCATGCTCCCGACTCAGGTGGATGGCTGTGGACCTCTAAAATGGGGAATAGAGGAGAACAGATCAGGGGATAGGGGAAGAGTGAATTTGGTATTGAGACACGTTGCATTTAAGGGGCCTAGGAGACATCCAAGTAGAGGTATTTGGTGGCATGAAACTGAGGAGAGACCTGATCTGGAGAGCTGAAAATGGATTCATTCATTTGACAAATATTTATTGAGCCTTTCCTGTGTGCCAGGAACTGTTCTAGGTAACCGAGAACCAGGCAAAGTCTCTGCCCTCATGGAGCTTGTATTTTGGTGAGGAGACAGGCAGCTACTAAATAATAATGTAATTTGAGGTGATGAGGGACTAGGGTGAGAGTGAATGATTTTTGAGGAAATGGGATAGACTTACAGGAAGTGGAATTCAAGCATTGTGCCCTTTGTAAGAAGGTGAGGGCAGCCCAGTGGCATAAAAAAAGGTCGTTTAAACAGTGAGTTTGGTATCTAAATAATTATAATATACCAAAAAAAATGCATGTACCATAGAGATAACAAACAGCGTTGTGGAGAAAGAGCAGGGAGTGATCACATCTGGTTGGAGGGATGGGGAAGGTTTCAGAAGGCAACAGCTTTTGAGATGAGCCTTGAAGGATGGTTACAAATAGAGATTACAGATTTTCCTGAATGTAAAAGTAATACTCATTGTAGAACGCTGGAAAAACAGAAGAATCTTTTTTAAATTAAAAGAAGCCTTAATCCTAGCACTTAGAGATGATGTTTGTTAACTTACTGATGTATTTCCTTCCAGATATGTAGTTATTTTAGTTAATAAATTTGGAATAACACTGTAAATATAGTTTTTTATCTTTTTTTTAACCTAACATATTGTGAGCATTTTCCTGTGTCTTTTGAAACCATGGTATTTAATGGTTATATTATATTTCATCCCATAGTTATACCATAAGTATTTAATCTTTTTCTGTAAAAAATTTTATTTATGTATTTTTAGAGAGGGGAAGGGAGGGAGAAACAGAGGGAAACATCCATGTGTGGTTGCCCCTCATGCGCCCCCTACTGGGGACCTGGCCCGCAACCCAAGCGTGTGCCCTTGACCAGGAATTGAACCAGCGACCCTTTGGTTCGCAGGCACTCAATCCATTGAGCCACACCAGCCAGAGCTAAACTAATCTTTAATTGTCAGATACTTAGACTATGAGTTGGTTTTTTATTTGTTTTTGCTGTTCTAAGTAATGTTACGAACAAACATCTTTAACTGCATCTGTCACTGTTTCCTTAAGATAGATTTATAGAAGGACCAGTGACCAGATCAAAGGTTTCAAATATTTTAAAACTCTTGATGGTAACAGCATTGCCTTCCACAATAACAAATTTCAGAATATGTCCTACTCCACTGGTCTTGGATGTTAACACTTAGAAAATCCAATTGGGCAGACAAAAGTATTTCATTGTTTTGATTTGCATTTCTTTCTCTGGAAAGCTTGATCTTTGAACATTCTCTTTCAGTGCATGGCAGACGACATATCAACACGATCTTTTTGCTAATGGCTCCCACATTTATATCACTAGCCCAGACTTCCCCTGGCCTTCAGGCTCATACTTCCAATGCCCTACATGGATGTTTCACAGATGGTTCAAACTTAACCTGCCCTAAATCAAACCCTTGGCTTTTTAACCTGCAAATGTCCCCCCACACCCAGCTTTTCACCATCTTAGTAGGTTTACCACCATTCACCTAGCTGTCTAAGCCAGAAACTTAGATGTTAGCTTCAGTTCTTCCCTTCTGAGTCGCCACACCCAGTCCAGCAGCAAGGCCCGCCAATTCTAGCTACAACATGTATCTCACATTCTCCTGTTTCTCCACCTTCGTTATCACACTGTAGTCTAGGCCACCAGCATCTCACCTGAACTAGCCGAAGCGCTAACTACAAGGCCCTGCACCTGCCTCTCTCCAATGTCGTGTATCGTACTCCCTGCGCTCATTAGACTCCAGCCACAGCAGCCTTCTTTCAGTTCTTTGAACAGATCCGCCTCCCTCCTTCTACAGAGTCTTTGTGCGTGTTCTCTTTGCATGGGATGCCCTTCATTTATCTGTCTTTTGGGGCCTTGCCTTTCTCCCCGGCTAGAATGTATGCTCCATGAGGGCAGGGGGCATTTCTCTTGTTCACTGTGGGATGCCTAGCAGAGCCTGGCGCACGGAAAGTGCTCAGGAAATATTTATTGTTGACGAGCAGGAGGAACAACATGAGCAAAAGCCCAAGGCAGTTGGAGGTATGTACAGGTGATGAAGAACAGTCTGATTTAGCAGAAGCTCAGAGGCCTGCATAAGAAAGTGATGTATATAGAGTGTTGAAGAGGAGAAGACAGGCGGAAAGACAAGTTAACATGTTACGGTGGTATTTCAACTGGGAAGAAGTAACAAAAATGAAGTTACAGCTATCAGAGGTATTACTTTTTAAAAAGAGATTTTATTTATTTTTAGACAGCGGAAAGGAGGGAGAAAGGGAGAGAAACATGGATGTGTGGTTGCCTCTCGCGCGCCCCCTACTGGGGACCTGGCTTGCAGCCCAGGCATGTGCCCTGACTGGGAATCGAACCAAGAAGCCTTTGGTTCACAGGCCGGTGCTCAATCCACTGAGCAACACCAGCCAGGGCAGACATATTACTTTTGCAAGAAGCATTTCTATGAATTGAAAAATAATTATTCAGCTCCTTATTTATTTTTGTAAGTCACCCCTTCCCTGCCCCACGACTTTACATACTGAGGCCATCCTATATAAAACACTTCTCTTTCTCCCAAAACCTGTTTCTTCATCTGTCTTCTCTATCCTCATTCCCATCTTGGAGGAGTAAGTGTAAGTCTGGTTGGTTAACTGCACCTCCATTCTTTTAAAAGAAATAGAAGAATAGGAACGAGGTAAGTAATGAGCCTAATTTTAGATTTACT